ACACCACTCCTCTTCCATCTCCTCCCCCACCCCAGGAACTGACCAGGAAAAGCTCCTGGCACCCAGGTGGGCACGGAGCGCCTGCAGGTGGGTCACTCCCCGAGGAGGGGGAGGAGGGGGGAGGGGGGCCACTGGGAGGCTCTCCAAGCCTCCCCCACCAGCCCGCCCCCACTGCAGCAGGATGCATGCTTGGGAACCCCAACTTTGGTCCCACACAGCCATTGATGATGGCCAACAGATACCCGACGGAGCCCTGCCAAACTCCACTGCGGTCTATTTGACCACCAACCCTCTCCCGAGGCCGCTTTCTTCAGCCAACCTCCACAGTGTGGAGTCTTAACCAACAGCCTATGGTTGCTTGTGCCCAGAGCTCTTCCCTTCCCCTTCTACCTGGCAAACCTTCACCCATCCTCAAGAACTCCAAGAAAATGGCTGGTGCAGCCACAGAGCATTCCTCCAAGGCTCTCCTGCCAGAACAGCCCACGCCCACCCAGCAAGACCCGAGGATGCAGTCTCTCGTGACCCCAGCCCCAGGTGAATCTGGCCTGCAGATAATCAGACCTGATCGACCTCTTCCTCCAGAAAGTCCCAGAAAATGGGGGGGGGTCTTGTTTGGGATCATTGTAAAATGCTTCACTTTTGGACTTCAAAGAATACTGAGGGTTAAGGAGAGAGAGGTGGGAAGCAGAGGAAGCCACCTGCTCCCCACGCTGGAACACCCTAGGGGTGTCAACCGCAATGGAGCATACTAGAACCTGCAGCCTTCCCCACAAAGACTACTCAGAACCCAGGAGCATTTAGCCCTGGAGCTTTGGCTCTATGTGTGTGTGTGTGTGTGTGTGCGCGTGCGCGTAGGGGAAGAAGCAGTAGTGTCACCGCCTCACTTGCCTCAGTTTCCTCTTTTGAAACTGAAGGTGGTGACAGTGCTCCTCTTATTGTTGCATTAACAACCAGGAGGTCTTGGCACCATTCCTGGCCCGCAGTGAATGTTGGCTCCGTTGTTGTTGCTATTACCCTACTTGTTGTGGAGAACACTTCCACACAGGGGCTGTGAACGGGCTAAGTATCTGAAGGACCTCGGGGACCAGGCAGCTGCGCCACGAGCCACCCCCGCCACGCTCCCTGGGGCCCGCTCTGCCCACCTTGGAGAGCCACTTGGAGTGGCAGGTGGGCGGGTGGCACGTCACAACATAGGCCACAATCCAGCTACCGGGGTCCCCTGGCACCGCCGCCCGCTCAGGCTGGGAGACCCCCAGGGAACTTGGATCCAACTGGAAGGGTGTGGAGCACCCCCTGGAGGATTCTCTGGGTATCGCGGACCTCCCGGCACTTAGAAATGTAGAGTGGATAAGTCTTTAAAAAAAAAAAAAAGGCAGGATTGCACAAGGAAAGAAGAGTATGGCTTCTGTGTGTTACCACTGAAACAAGCAACTGATTCCCCCGTCCCGCCTAGGGACACTGCTAGAAGTAAAAATATCCTTGAAGGATGAAGTGTCTGGAGCACGGTACAGAATGCCTGGGCTGGGGTGTGCAGAGGCAGACAGAGGGCGCCCGATGGGGTTAGAGGACCAGATTCTGCATTGCTCCCAGACCAGGGCTGCAGGAGAGGAGGGGTTCTGTGAAAGATGGGCCTAGTCATCAGAGCGCACTGACTTCTTTTCTGGGGCTCTTCCTCCTTGCAGCAGCCCCTCATTAAATGTGTCTGGAGTCGGCAGAGCCTGGATGTTAACAGGTGCTCTGCAGTAAGGAAAACACGGATAAGCAAATCTTTCCATTTTACCACCTTTCCCCCCAGTTCTGGGGCTTGAAATCTGGAGCTGGACACTGTCACTGAGCTCCTTTTTGCTCAAGGCTAGCACTCTACTACTTAAGCCACAGCACCACTTCCAGCTCTTTCTGTTGGTTAATTGGAGATAAGAGTCTCAAAGCCTTTCCTGCCCAGGCTGGCTTCAAACCGCAATCCTCAGATCTCAGCCTCCTGAGTACCTAGGACTACAGGCTAGAGCCACTGGTGCCTGGCTGATTTTGCCATCTTCTGTGTATGTGCGTTCTGGTCCTGGGGCTTGAACTCAGGGCCTGGGAGCTAGCGAAATGAGCTCCTGTCCCATAGTTTAATACACTCCTTTCCATCTCCACAGCTTGGCATGCTCCCTTCCTAGGCAACACTAGGCTCATGTAGGCAAGGCAGTAAATAATCAGCCTCCACCTCCCCTTTACCTAGAGATGGCACTTGTCTGGGGCAGCCACCACCATAAAGGCAACAAGAGCCCCTTTTTTTTTTTTTTTTTTTTGGGTCCGGTCGTGGGGCCTGAACTCTGGGCCTGGGCGCTGTCCCTCAGCTCTTCAGCTCAAGGCTAGCGCTCTACCACTTGAGCCACAGTGCCACTTCCGGCTTTTTTTCTTATGTGGTGCTGAGGAATCGAACCCAGGGCCTCGAGCATGCAAGGCAAGCGCTCTACCACTGAGCCACCTTCTCAGCCCCAACAAGAGCCCCTTTGAGTGACCTTCAGGCCTGGGCAGCTGCAGAGCTCCTTATCTACTATTTGGACATCAGCCTCCAATCCTAGCCGCCATGATGCAGCTCCTGCCCGACACGTCCACACCAGGATCTCGCCTCCTAAACCTCCTAGGACATATAGGTCACCTCAGACAATAGCTGGCGCTTCTTCTCACTCCTCTCCTGTGGGCAGGAGTCTTGTCCACTCCTTTCCCAACAATAAACCTTCCTTTGTTCTCTGTACCTGGGTGTCTGGGTGGTTCTCTGGCAAAGGCTCATTGACCCTCTCAGCTAGCTCAGCTCTACTTCTGGCTTTGGGGTGGTTTAACTGAAGAGTCTGGTGGACTTTGCTGCCCGGGCTGGCTTCCAACCAAGATCCTCAGCTCTGGGAGCTTTGAGACCTGACGACGACGACGACAGATTACCTGACTGCCATTCCCGACGTGAGCCGCCTGAGCCCGGCTGGGAAGCAGACAGGGTGCCCGGCTCAGGGGCAGTGTGCGCTCCCGACCGGGCGCCGGGCTTCGGGGGGGAAGCATGCGGTGGCGCTGGGGGAGGCCGCCCGCCGGCTGTGGGCAGCCCGCG